TTGACTGTGAGGGTGCCCGAGCCCTGGCCCAGGCTGCCCAGGGGGGCTGTGGAGTCTCCTTCTCTGGAGATCTTCAACCCCCGCCTGGCCGCTGTCCTGTGCCCCCTGCTCTGGGTGAGCCTGCTTGGGCAGGGGGGTGGGATGGGTGAGCTCTGAGGGCCCTGCCAGCCCCGGCCAGGCTGGGATTCTGTGAGTGGCGTAAGCCTGTTACTTACACGTAGTGTATGGGGTTTGACAACAGACGGGTACTGGTCGTGGTTTGAAATGATGGGACACCACAGCTAAACGGGAGCGAGTGCTTGCCAGACCTGCAGTGCCATTCCCAGCCTTTCCACAGGAAAGTCTTCTGTTGTTTACTTATGCATTTTACCGATGTTTTCAAGTGACAGAAACGTGGCCTTCGAAGGCTTTGTATTTCTCAGATAGATTTGAAAAGCCCCTTCACTCTGTTGACTTTCAGTTACTTGTATTTTGCAGTGCACAAGAAGTAAAAGAACATCCTTTCTTCAAGGGCATCGATTGGCAGCAAGTCTATTTACAAAAGGTAAAGGATTAAGAGAGCAACCTTAGCTGACTTGGTAAAGCAGTAAAAAGAAAATAAGCCTGAACAGGTAACGGGCAGAAACCTTCAGGGTTCCAGTCCCCAGTACACGCACTCATTTGCACGAATGCCAGGAGGACTGTTGATGAAAACCGATGTATATTCGTTACTACAAGCCTAGCTGATCCATAGTACTGAATTACTACTTTTTCAGGGTCAAATGACTGCATGGTTTCTTCTGCTGAGCTGTCTCTAAGCTGTAGGGTTCCCCCCCAGCCCCAATTTTTGGAGGACTGTTTGTTAAAGGAGTGGAGAACTTTGTTGCGCTGAAGTTTAATTTCAAGAGCCATATTTTTGCACAGTCCTGTGTAGCTTGTGCAAAAAATAAAAAGGCTGTATACAGCTACAGAATGCATTGAAATAACGCCCATTAATTTGTCTCTAATTATGCTGCTTTTAATTTCTAGTATCCTCCACCATTGATTCCTCCCCGGGGAGAAGTAAACGCAGCGGACGCATTTGATATTGGGTCGTTTGATGAAGAGGACACTAAAGGCATTAAGGTACACAACGTTAAAGGATAGGCAGGGAACGGCGCTGCGGGTGCTGTGCTTGACTGGCCATGCGTGCGTGCCGTTCGTGTGCTTCGGGGGCTACTGAATGTGTAAGGAATTGCTTTCAGGTTTGGAAACTTAATCCGTGCCATGAGGAAAGAACTTGGGCTGGTTGGCTGGTTCATTCTAGCTTGTCAAGGCCTTTCGTTTTATTTTTTAGATTGATGGAAATCTGCCTTCCTAGCAAAAGCTTTCTGTGATAAAGCAAATATTTCACATGGGCAGACAGCTTCTGGGAAATCCTCAGGTTTTCAGGAACAAGTAATGGTTTGTAGTTTCATAACATGTAATTTGTTCCTGGTAGCTTGAATGAATGGAACTAAACCCTATTTTAACAGTATTACCTCATGGTCCGAGGGCGCGTTGGAAAACTCTGCCAAGTGACAAACTGCGTGCTAAGGGTAGCAACTTTATCGGTTAGAAAAGCGCTAAAAGAAACTTTTGGTTTCTGATATTATCCAAAATCGAATGAAAACAATGTAAAGGGAAGAATGAGAAGCTGAAGCTGCTGGCCCGGCTCTGCCTTGCGCGGAGGTGGTGGGACGTACCCTGTGTGTGCGGCCCCGCTCCTGGAGCCTCCCTGGTGCTTTGAGGCAAGAGGGGAAGCGGTGCTTGTCTCGGGTCTGTCCCCTTCACTGGTTTTCTCGTACAGTTCTTCAAGAGATCAGACTTTAGTCTTGTTATTACAGAAGTGAGTCAGGAGAGAAGCTTAATTGCTCTAAACTTTATAAGCAAAAAAACCTGTTAAGTACGCGCTGTGCCTAAAAGGAACTTGTCTGTCAGTGTCACCCACTGTAATTACAGAAGTTGGCACAGGAAAGATTTTACGTGTTTAAAGGCAAATGCAAGAACCCAAGATGTTCTTTATCCCAGAAAGCTCCGCAGCTTCGGCATCGGCGCTAGTCTAACGGGATTCCGATTTCCTGCAGTTCTGGGATGCCATAACTTGGAGGGACATTCTGCAAGGAGAAACCAGGTGGTCTTTTGATTTATTGAGGGGATCGGATATTCTCAGCAAGGCCCGTAAACTGTATGGCCAGATCACGTCCATGTCATCTTTGTTCAGGCTGCCTATAAGGTAAATTTATTCTTAGTCCTGAGTCAGCGAGGGATATCACATACAGCTGCTCCGCTCTGCGCTTCCACTGGGATGTCACCGTCTTTTAGGAGGGACTGAATAATCCGTGCCCCTGAGTCAGCTGCGGCCGGAGCTTCCACGAAGGTGTCAGGAGCCATCTCTGCCCGCGAGGACGCCAGTTTTGAGCGCCTTGCTCCCCTCCCTTGCCCCTGCGGATTATATTTATGCTGCAGGGTGTCCTGTGACACCGAGAAGAACACGTGTTCTTCGAGGTTACAAGCTGGAAAGCCAACAGTGGACGCCCGTGCCTTTCCCCTCTTTCTCAGATGCCCTAAGAAATCCCTGTAAGCCACTTGTGCCGAATTGCAGAGAAGCTTTCTGCCGTCAGATCCAGCGTGTGTTCTCCTGCGATACGGCGATGGATCTCCGAAAAGGAGGGGAATATCTGTTCTGGGAGTGCCTGGCCTGGCTGCGGAAGGCGAATTGAGCAAGGCTGTCCCTATCCTGCTCCTGCAACTGCTGCGTCCCTGCCCGGCGGGCGTCCTGCGTTCGGAACGCGGCAAGGGGCGCTGCTCTCACAGGGAAAGGTCTGCGGGGCTTTCTCTGAAAGGAAGGTTCCTCTACTTCTGGATGGAAACTGAAACAACGAGGGGAGTGTTTAAACTCACCCCCAAATGAAAACCTTCACTAAAGCTATAGGGTGAACATCGAGCGCTTTTTGTACTGCGTCCGAGCGCCTTGCGGCTAAACCCAGAACACGGCTGTGTCAAGCAGCACGGCTTCGGGCAGACCCACTGGTTTTGGTTTCCTTCAGTAGGATTCAACTCCAGAACGGTAGCTAAGGATTAGGGGAGAAAAGAATCCAAGTAACAGGAAAATCGAGGTCTGCAGCATGCGCTGCTGAATAGGGAAGGTTAATTATTAAGAATGCAAAATTAAGCTGTGGAAGCGTGGAAGGCGGCGGCGCGTAGAAGGTATCGTCTCATTTATTCATGGGATTTTTGTGCAGAGGAGGTTTTTAACACGAGTAGGCATTTTGTTAACACTGATTGTGCAGCGAATGGATTATGGAGCTATCAAAGCAAAGGTGGCCTGCTCTCTGTATACAAGTGAATGTCTGTGCTTAATTAGTGTCTGTGTTCTCTCCTGCTTGCACCGTCTGTCCCGGTAAGGTTAGAGCTCAATACAACTTTCAAAGGAATACTGTTATATGGGTAACTGTTAACTGTGGGGGATAAGAATAATAAAAGTTATTAAAATGTTGGGGGTTTGTGTTGTTTTTCTCTTGCCAGTTGCTCGATAGTGACCAGGAACTGTACAAGAACTTCCCCCTGGTGATATCGGAGCGTTGGCAGCAAGAAGTAGCAGAAACTGTTTACGATGCAGTAAATGCAGACACAGATAAAATTGAGGCCAGAAAAAGGGCTAAAAATAAGCAGCTCGGCCACGAGGAAGGTAACACACTGTCAAATGCACTTCTCTGCATCTTTTGCTGCGAGGTAGCAGTTCCTGTGTTTGAAGTTCCACGCAGCAGACTCTCACATTACTGTCACTCACCAGTCATTGTGAGGATTCATTTAGGCAGTGTCGTGTTTCTGAAGACCTTTCTTAATGTTTTGAAATGCCGTATGACATAATGTTTTGGAAAACCTTTTTTTGTACTCTCTTCTAAAGATTATCATGTACAGCCTTTCATCATTTTTTTTGTTTGTGGTCTACGCTCAGAAAAGGGTACGTGGGGTTTGATTTCATGATGAAGAAGCTGGGGGAGAACACAGGGGGGCCTTTGCAGCAAACTTCCCCTGTTTGCACGGGGATGTTGCACCATAAGCTCCAAACTTTGGCTAGCAATATCCAATTCCTTTAACAGTTAATAATAGGACAAGGGGTGATGGCTTTAAACTAAAACAGGGTAGATTTGGACTGGATCTAAGGAAGAAATTCTTTCCAGTGAGGGTGGTGAAACCCTGGCAGGGGTTGCCCAGAGAGGGGGTGGAGGCCCCATCCCTGGGAACATTCCAGGCCAGGTTGGCCGGGGCTGTGAGCACCCTGATGTGGTTCAAGGTGTCCCTGCTCCTGCAGGGGGGTTGGGCTGGGTGACCTCTGGGGGTCCCTTCCCACCCAAACCATTCCATGATTCTATGATAATAAGGTACTTTTTTAACAACCAAATTTTGTTCTCAGTTCCCCCGCTGCAGCCGCATCAGCTCCTATAATTAAGGCAGAATTGGCTCTGGGTGTGCCCGTGCACATCGAGCGCCGCTGCAGGCTCCGGGGGAGCACCCCCAGGCCCGCCGTGCTCAGGGCCGTGTCCGCCCTCGGCGCAGCGCCCGCGCACGGTGCTTTTAGGCAGTACCTCGTTCTGCATGCTAATGTTTCCTCCTCTTACAGACTATGCGCTCGGGAAGGATTGTATTATGCACGGGTACATGCTGAAATTGGGGAACCCGTTCCTGACTCAGTGGCAGCGGCGTTACTTTTACCTCTTCCCAAACCGACTGGAATGGCGAGGAGAAGGAGAGTCACGGGTAAGCGGGGTTGCTCGGGGGAGCAGCAGCGTCCCGGGGCGTGCAAGGCGGGTGGGTGCTGAGGGGTCTCTGAGGATTCAGCCAAAAACCCCCATGGAAGCAGAGTTCTGCCCAAATAAACGACCAGTGGGTTGGAGTAACTTACCTTGAGTGTCGCTGTAGCTAGTGGGTAGCTATGCCGCGCTGGGGCAACGTGGCGTTGACCTGAGAAACGGGTTTGCTTTGGTTTGTTACGTGTTTAAAGGAATTTGGTAGTTCACGGTGTTGTTTTTCATTTAGGACCTCTGGACTATTTATACAAAAAAACATAAACCGGTAAGGTCCTAGATGCTATAGCATTTTGTTTCAAAGAAAATGCTATAGGGACTTAGTCCAGCTGTGATCATGTGCTAGGCAGATCATTTGTACATTTAGTTCAGTCAGGGTTGGGAATTTCAAAACGTTGTTCTCCTCTGACAGCTGGCAGGGAAAGCTTTTCTGCAAACTGTTGTGTAGCTTTGCTTCTTTGTAAGTATATTGTGCTTAAATATTCCCTTTCAGCTCTCTGAAATAGCAAGGTTGCCCCTTTTTTGCCCCCCCCCCTTTTTTTTTAACAGCAGCAGTAATATTTGGAAAATGGATACAATTATATGCAGCTCTTGTGGGAGAATGATGAGTATTTTGTTTGTAGGCACACCTATTTGTAGATTCTTAGTTCATGCTGTCATTGCTGCCTTTCCTAGCTCGTGTTTCGCTGCCCCTCTGGAAGCAGCCGAGCTCCTGGTTCAATCCCTCTCTTACCTTATCATCTATCTTTAGCTCATGACCCAGTCTGTGCGAATCAAGAAATGTTTGTGTAACGAGTGTCACTGTTCCTAACTTGACTTTTGTGGGTAGTCCCGAAAAATTAGATAACGGCTTTATTTGATGGGCAACAGGGGTTTTTTTTGAATCATCTCTCTGCTTTATCTTTGCAAACGCTACAGCAAAACCTACTGACAATGGAACAAATCGTATCGGTGGAAGAAACGCAAATTAAAGATAAGAAATGCATCTTGCTGAGAATTAAAGGAGGAAAACAGTTTGTCCTGCAGTGCGAGGTGAGACGCTTGGGTTTCGGTAGCTGTTAATCGTACGCTAAAACAACTGAGAAATCTTTTCGGGTCCTCCCCTTACGTATTAACTAAGCGTACCTGACGAGGCAAAGCTGAACCCAAGCGACGCTGGGAAGTTTTTATCACGCTTGAGTTTTGAAAGTGGGAAAGCTGCAGCTATGCCAGGTTCTGTCACGGATTTCAATGGTGTTTGGGCCGCAAATGAGTTCAGTTTAATAAATAGCTAAAACCATCCAAACTCCTCAGCCTGCACGGGCTTCGAAGGCCCTGTTGGCACGTGTCTCAGCGCAGTTAGTCCATGGTAGGTGGTGTGCTTGCGAGGGAGGAGGTACACCAGTCTGGTGCACCAGTCCCCTCTGCATCTTGACCAGTGGCTGCTGCCTCGCCTGGCTTCGGCAGGGTGACGGAGGGGCAAAGGGCTGCGCGTTTTCCATATCCAAAGTTACTCATTCCTCTGGAAAATGACAATAAGTCGCTTTAAAAGTGCTATCTAAGCGAGAAGGCGCTCTTGGGCGTTTACTGTGAAGTGCCAAACCACTTCTGTATCTCTTTCAGAGTGACCCAGAATTTGTTCAGTGGAAAAAAGAGCTGACAGAAGCTTTCACTGAGGCACAGAGGTTGCTGCGTCGGGCCCCAAAGTTTCTCAATAAATCTCGCTCAGCAGTCGTAGAGCTTTCAAAACCACCGCTCAGCCACAGGAATAGCAATGGTCTGTAGGAGACACGGGGAGCAAAGCTCACGTAGGGGAAGCTACTTTGTGAACATGTCGAGTTTCACAGAATCCTTATGAATTACTTTGTGCAATCCTGGATGCGGGATGTGCTTAGAAGAGGAAGAAATTAGATGTTTACAGCGTGGGATGATGTCGGAACTCTGTCTCTGGAGGTTGTGAAGCCTGGAACAATGGCAAGTGAATTCGTGCTCCTAGCAGCGGTGGAAATGACCGAGCCTAGAGGCTGGATGTTGCTCCCATGCATTCCCACACCCTGGCGGTGTCTAAACCGTGGTCCATTGCTCTGCAACTGCTGACGGAAGGAAGATGCTGGTTTCTCCGCAATACCCTCGTTTGGTGCGTCCCGAGCCTGGAGACTTGAAACGGTCGCTGCTGGCTGGGATCGCACGCCTGTGCGCGACACCGACCGACCCCTCGGCTGCGGAAGGAGCTGCAGACTTGCCCCGGTGGATCACCTTTAATCTGTCGTGTTGCCATGTCCTTTCCGACCATTACTGCTGACTTGATGATAACCTTTCTCCATACTGCTGATGATCAACAGCGTGACTCTTATGCACTTCAAAGTACTGAATTCTAACTGTCCTGTGGTTTAAATGTTATTGCTACTTCATGGAAACGTTGAACTCGAATTACTCACTTAGTTTGTTGTACTCACTGGTAGTAGCTACCACCGTTTCGCTTCTTCTTACGTATATGCAGTCCTATAACTGACACAATAGAGTAATAATTGGTGAAGAGGAATTTATGGTAGCTTCATCTAGTGCTCTGTTGTATAAATTGACTGTTTTAGCACAGTTTTTAAAGAGCAGATTCCTTCTGACAAGTTTACAGCGAACATAAAGACAGTTCTTTTCCATTTCAGGTCAAGCGCACTTTTTAAAAATTAAAGAGAAATTACTCCAATCCACTGCATCCTAGTGCATGTCCTGGGTTAAATGCCTGGGTGCCTCGGTACGTATCCTGGAGCACTCTGCTGTTACGGGGCTTGTGGATCCTTCCCTGTTGCACACAAAGCCACGAAGCGAGCGTGGTCTCATAGCGTAGGTGCCCCAGACTTTGCCCTGTAGCCCAGCTCAGGAGGTTCGTGCGCACATCGCGTGGCTCGGCTTGCAAAAGGAGTTTTTAATTTTCTTTTCTAGAGAGTTCGGACGGTCCGCGTTGAAATCAGGCTGAGAATGCTGAGGATGGGACGGACAAAGTGAGCTGATCAAATGCCAGATTTGTATTAATTCTGCTTGGGACATAGGCCGTGTCATGTGGAAACGCTTGCTAAAGTGAAGATATGATCTCTTCACTGTTTAACTTCAGGCATGCGAAGTCGGCCTTCTCCTGGCTAAGGCGAGGTTTTGTAAGAGATGGGTCAGGGCTTAATTTAAGCTTTTTTTCTGATTCAGTAAACACCTTCGAGAACATTTGCTGCCTAATTACGGTGGTACAGCTCTCACCATCCCTAAAGGCGGTGGGGGGCTGCGTCTTCGTAAATGGGAGCAGAAGTTCCAGCCCCAGCCCGCTCTGCCCAGCGGGGGCGCGGGGCTCGTGTGCCTTGTGCCGCTAACAGAGGACCACCGAGTTCCAGGCCCACTCATAGCGTAGGTGCCCCAGACTTTGCCCTGTAGCCCAGCTCAGGAGGTTCGTGCGCACATCGCGTGGCTCGGCTTGCAAAAGGAGTTTTTAATTTTCTTTTCTAGAGAGTTCGGACGGTCCGCGTTGAAATCAGGCTGAGAATGCTGAGGATGGGACGGACAAAGTGAGCTGATCAAATGCCAGATTTGTATTAATTCTGCTTGGGACATAGGCCGTGTCATGTGGAAACGCTTGCTAAAGTGAAGATATGATCTCTTCACTGTTTAACTTCAGGCATGCGAAGTCGGCCTTCTCCTGGCTAAGGCGAGGTTTTGTAAGAGATGGGTCAGGGCTTAATTTAAGCTTTTTTTCTGATTCAGTAAACACCTTCGAGAACATTTGCTGCCTAATTACGGTGGTACAGCTCTCACCATCCCTAAAGGCGGTGGGGGGCTGCGTCTTCGTAAATGGGAGCAGAAGTTCCAGCCCCAGCCCGCTCTGCCCAGCGGGGGCGCGGGGCTCGTGTGCCTTGTGCCGCTAACAGAGGACCACCGAGTTCCAGGCCCAGGCCCTCGTAGAAAAGTACAAATTGGCAAAACCAGGAGAATTAATTTGAAAGCATTCGTTTATCCTGAGCACGCTTGTCAGACAATTGGATGTACTCGCTTCTAGGAGCGGGAGCGGCTTTACTCTGCGTCGCACGCGCTTCCGCACGCGGGCGCGCTCTGTCTTACCCTGGGCTGCAGCAGGAGCGGAAAAATGCGTTTTGGAAGAGTCAGGTGGTATCTTTTTAATGGGTTTTTTTTCCCCCGTTTATTCCCGTTTATTTTTCCCATTTCCCATTCTCACTGGTAAGTGGCGCCCAGCCTCTCGGCATCTCCCTAGGGAGCAGCCGTGGTACTTGCTGAGGTGCGGCACGGGGGACGCCTCATCCCGCTGGCGCTGACTGGGCACGGGCTGCTGCTAAGCGGTCCCTCTAATAAGCGATGCTCTGATTTTTTTTTGTCTTGATTTGGAAAAAAACCCCTCAGATTGTGATAAAACCCGCTCTTTGCTGGCGCTGACTGGGCACGGGCTGCTGCTAAGCAGTCCCTCCAATAAGCGATGCTCTGATTTTTTTCGTCTTGATTTGGAAAAAAAACCCTCAGATTGTGATAAAACCCGCTCTTCGTTCTCACGTAACTTGTTCGTGCTTCCTTCCTTCGGTAGCAGCTCCATTCTTCCCTTTCAGTACTTTCCACCGTTGCTTTTTGCGCGAGATCCTTCCTGGCAGAGCTTTGCAGTTTGCGATGCGGCGCGCCGTAGGTTCCGACGCCGGTGTCTGCGAGGAGGGGAGGGACAGATCCCTCAGTGGGAAATTGCGCCTCAAGCCCAGAGATGTTGTACGGAACGAAGGCTGTGTGTCGGCTTACGGGGGTCGTGAAGCGTATGGGGGCTGGGGTGGCCCTAGAACGCGCTCGTTAGCGTGGTCCCTGCCGCCC